TCAACCACGACCATCCACGCCCAGTGTTCCCTGCCGGACCTCAACCATGACCATCCACGCCCAGTGTTCCCTGACGGACCCCAACCGCGAGCTCCAGACCCAAGTGTTCCCCACCGGACCTCAACCGCGACCATCTGCGCCCAGTGTTCCCTGCCACACCTCAACCAAGACCATCCGCTTCCCTGCCGGACCTCAACCGCGAGCTCCAGGCCCAAGTGTTCCCTGCCGGACCTCAACCACAGCACACAACCACAGCACACAGCCACAATCACAAACACAATCGTACCACCACAAACACAATCACAAACACACAACCACAAACACAACCACAAACACACAACCACAAACACACAACCACAAACACACAACCACAACCGCAAACACACAACCACAACCACAACCACGACCACAACCACAAACACAAACACAAACACAAACACACAACCGCAACCACAACCACAACCACAAACACACAACCACAAACACACAACCACAAACACATCCACAAACACACGATCACAAAGCACAACCACAACCACAACTACAAACACACAATCACAACCACTAGCAGCACCACAAACACAATCACAAACACAGCCACAAACACAACCACAAACACAATCACAAACACACAGCCGCAAACACATCCACAAACACACAATCACAAACACACAGCCACAAACACACAATCACAACCACAACCACAACCACAACACAGCACACAACCACAACCACAAACACACAACCACAGCACACAACCCGAGGACCCACAAGCAAAATCGAGAACTACAATACTCACGACCATGGCAACATGCTCCTCACTATGGCACTATGGCATCAAGACAAATGATTGAAATGTCATGGTGATCACTCGAAGTAAAGTAATTTCATGTAATTTCGTTGTTGGGTGCTGGACATGCATGACGCTCAGATGCGCTGCCCGAACACCTTTCCTCACAGAATTTGCCTCTAGGATCCACAGGGGTCCCCGAGGGCTGCCGGGGGGCTTCAGATGGCAACGAGGTTGCGTACGGCGCCGCGCGGGCTGGGCCCGCGCGCGGAAGGAGGCTTGCGGCAGCTGATCCCAGAGTTGCTCCCTGGGGCACCGAGCTTAGAGGCTAAACGAAGTGAATCTGCATCGAGAGCACCGGAAGTCTCAACGAGCACTACTGGGTGGGGGTGGTGGCAGTGTGATGGCTTTGTTTAGCGGCGGTTCACTTTCTTGAGGCTCTATCTTGCCTGGATGATGGTGAGGTTACGATCCAACAGGATGCCATCCAGGCAAATCACAGTGTGGCCAAAAGCCTGCTCTTCCGTGTGGGTGGACCTTCTTTTGCCTTTCAAGCAACTTCCTGCCATCCCTAAAAAACTTGGTAACCCAGCAAGGGAAGATGGTTATATAGCTGACATGGATTGATCATGCTTGATCTCCATGTTTCATGTTCGCATCTCTCCTGTTTCATCACCGTTTTAAAACCTCGCTTGCTCGCTCGGCCGCGGCACCGGGGAGCTTCGGAAAGGCAGACGTGCGGCTTCGGGAAGCCATCATGAGTCTTGAAAGTGCCGATGCCAAGGAATGGTCCAAGGAGTGGAGAATCCGAGGAGGCCATCGCTAGTAATTAGGTTGGAGGCCAACGCTAACAGGTTGGAGGCCATTGCTAGTAATTAGGTTGGAGGCCATC